GCATTCTGAGGAAGGGTCACCGGACCCGAAACGTTAACTCTGTTTTCTCCTCCACAGATGCTGCCAGACCTGCTGAGCTTTTCCAGCAACTTTGTTTTATTCCTAAAGGAGGTCAGGATCAGTCTCTGGGGTGGATGGAGCAAAGGTGAGTTGGGGTCAGTGTCCATGACGAGGATCTGGATCACCATCCGGGGGGATTGCGGTCAGTGTCCAGAGGAGACTGAAGTCAGTGTTCTGGGCTATCTAATAGTTTGGCTTCAGTAATGTTTCATTGTGTGAAGTCACTCACCCTCAGCTGTTCCCAGGAGAAGTTCTCCATGCACACAGTACACGTTGCTGTGGCGAATGTTCCATGAGCTTCCACCAATTTCTCCGTTGGGATTCCAGCCACTGAAATGCAACGGGAGAGAGAAGGCAGTCACTGAGGGATGAAAAGATGCACAGCTGATGTCCTCACCCTTCCTGGGTTCCAAAGTTTCAGACTCTTCTGAGGATCCATCAACAAACCACCTGCTCTGTTTGAATAGGTGACTACTAAACTGTGAGGGGCACCTCAATCGATTTCGTGTTCTCAATGTCTATACAGAGAGATTCTGTGGACAGTGATCAGCATAGGATTTTAGACAGTGGTCACTTGATTCATTCGGAAGACTGAAAAGGGATCTGAATATACTCAAAGGATTTTAAAACTATCAAGGCATTGGGAAAAGAGTGGGACAGACTGAATTGCTCTTTCAGTCATCATGAGCTCAATGTTTCAAAGGCCCTCATTCTGTGCTGTAGCATTCTATAATTTACTGATTATAATTCACTATGGGGAATATTATAATTCACTGACTATAAGTTAATTTGATAAATTCTGTAACTCACTGACTATAATTCAATATGATGAATTCTATAACACACTGTCTATAATTCAATATGGTGAATACCATAATTAACTGACTATAATTCAGTATGGTGAATTTTATAATTCACTTACTTTAATTCAATATGGTGAATTCTGTAATTCACTGACTATAATTCATTGTCTTTAATTCACTATACTTTTACAACTCACCAGAAGCCCAGCACACTAATAATAGTCACAATTCACACGGCAAAGAAAGTGGTCATTCAGCCCATTCAATAAATGCCAGCTCCCTGCAAAACAATGCAGTCAATCTAATTCTCCCATAGCACTGGGCATTTCCTTCCCTCAAGTGCCTGTTCAATTCCTTTCTGAAATAATTTATTTTTAAAGTTGCTTTGTATACAACAGCTCCAGCAAAGTCATAAGTCTGTGTTCACTTGTTTTCTAGCCACCTATTGCAGAAATGTGGGCAACATTTGGCCACATGTGGGCATCATTGTAACGCAGGTAGCCATATTGCCCAGTGCTATCTGAAAATTAGAACAGAGCAAGAGGAAGATGCTATTCAGCCTGTTAACAAAGGAATTCAGCCTCTGAACCTCTGATACAGGAAAACAGCAGTTCATCCACCCCTTTAAGCCCATTACTTTAAAACAGGAGCAGGTCATTCAGCTCCTCGAGCCTGCTATACATTAACAGGGAAGGCCATTCTGTTCCTTCAGCTTGTTTTGTAGTAACACAAGGAAGCCATTCATTCCCTTCAGCAGTTACATTGAGTCATAGAAGGCCATGCAGCCCTCCGGGTTGCTCTGGAATTCTATCAGACGAAGGCTGATTTATTCTTCTACTATACTTACCCCCGCATCATTCCTTGCCAGCCCATTCCCCAAAATTAGTCTTGAAAGTTCCAACTGAATCAAGCATCCACTGACATTTGAATGGCTGTTCCACATTTCAACACCCTTTGAAAACCATCCTTGCTGATTTCATTTCTAACTCCCTGAGCTCTATTTCATTTTTTTCCAACACTCAAAACTGCTTACTGCGTTCCAGGCCGTCAATGTTCTGAGTGTACATTCGTAGCAGTAACTTTTTATGGTGTAAAAGTCTGACAAAGTAGTGTGTGTAGTTGGGTTTGCAGTTTCCAGGGTAGAGCTGCTTGGCCAGAGCAAAGAAAGGCTTTGGATTGTGGGAAAAGTAATTGATTTCAAAGATGGCTTCTGGGTATGGGATGTCATATTCCTGTAGGTTGTCATAGAGCCCACTGCCTGGTGACCTGAATACGTAACAATGGAAATGAAAATTAAAATAGTTAATACCAATTTCTAGGATCATTCCAACTTGCCACTTCATCCATTTTGTGAGAACATCACAGCAACAAATCAGAACAGAATGATCTTTCACAAACATTTCCACAACTCAGGAGAAAGCCAATCATTTGTTGCTGTTCCTTCTGACCTGGAGATGAAAGGGGAGAAAGCAAGATGACAACAATTGATTCACATTGAGCGCTGAACTTTTACTTAAACCAAATCCCTGCAGAGATACCCGAACAGGTCAGTCATGTGTTGATGGCCCTGAGTTCATTTCAGAAATACGTGTTTCCAGTCTCCCTGGGTTAGAAACTCAGTGCTTTCTCACAAGGATGAACTTATCAGGAGAATCTGTAGACACCAACAGAGAGAACAGCACTCGATCAACACTGGACCAAAGTCCATTTAAACTACAGAGATTGCAGGACAGGCAGTTACCCAGAAAGAGTTACCAGGAGAGAGTGGAGTTGGCAAGATAAGGATGTGACAAGACATGCTGGTGCTGACTGCCATGCTCAGAAGGTTGGAGCCGCTATGCACGTGCAGCTTAGAGGAAACGTTGATCAATTCCCTCACCTACTGAGCTTGGGTAGGAACATGTCACTGAATGAGAGAATTTCTCTAGAAACAGTGCGAGGAATAACCTCACTCTAGCAAGCACAGATTATCTGAAACAAAAACAAATTTGTTCGAGAAACTCAGCAGATCTGGCAACATCTATGAACAGAAAGCAGAGTTAACATTTCAAGTCCAGTGATCTTTGTTCAGAACTGACAGTAGCTAGGAAAAGGTGGTATTTATTCTGACCACAGTGGGCAGGGAAGGAGGAGGAGTGAGTGGATAGGTGGGTCCTAGTTATGCCTGTCTCTGTGGGTCTGTGGAACATTCTTTGTTCTAGTCCTGCTTGGGTCATTCCCCAGAACTCTTTCTCCGGTAAATCGATGACATCTTTGGTGCTGCTTCCTTCTCTCGTTTAGAATTGGGAAAATTTATCAATTTTACTTCCAATTTCCACCATGCTCTCACCTTCATCTGGTCCATCTCTGACTCCTCCCTTCCCTGCCTCGACATCTCTGTTTACATTCCTGGGGATAGGCTGGCACCAATATCCACTAAAAGTCAAGCGGCTCCCACAGTTACCTGGAGGTTACATCCTCACATCCTACCTCCTGTAAGGACTCCATCAAATTCTCCCAGTTTCTCCATTTCCATTGCATCTGTTCTGATGATGCCACCTTCTGCAGAAATTCCCACCCTTTCCTCTACATATGATTCCCCACCACTGGGATTAACAGGTCCCTTAGCTGTGTCTGATCCAGTTCCTGCACTTCTGCCCTCAGCCCTTCCCTTCCCTTTCACAATAGCGATAAGATCACCCTCGTCCTCAGTTACCACCCACCTACACCCGTATACAAAGTATCATAAGGCGCCATTTCCACCACCCCCAGCCACATGTCACCACCAGACATATATTCTCCTTCCTCCCCTTGTCGGTATTTCACAGGAACCATTCCCTCCAGGACACCATGGTCAACTCCTTCCCCACTCCCAACTGCACCCCACACTCCCACTGCAATTTCCCATACAATCACAGAAGGTGTAACAATTGTCCATTTACCTCCTCCCTCCTCACTATCCAAGGCCCTAGTCATACCTTCCAGGTGAAGCCGCGATTTACCTGCACTTCACTCAATCTAGTCCACTGTATTCACTGCTCACAACGTGGTCCCCTCTACACCGGGGAGACAAAACGCAGACTGGGTGACCTCTTTGCAGATCACCCATTTTATGTCCATAAAAATGACCCCAAGCTTCCAATTACCTGCCGCTTCATGTGCTCACTGGCCAATATTTCTGACTTCTGCAGTGTTCCAGCGAGGATCAGCGCAAGCAGGAAGAACAGTGTCTCATCTTACATTTGGGGACTATGCAGCCTTTGATATCAAATTCAACAACTTTACAGACTGAACACCACCTTCCATGTCCTTTACCCAAACCCACACCCTATACTCTGTCATGCTGCTTTCACCTACTCACGGACACTATTATCAGCTTTTCTCCTTTCCAGGCTTACTACGAACCATGTCCTTGTCTGCCTAACTTTATTTCTGTCTCTCTGGACTCTCTGCGTTCTTCACCGACCCCGACCACCCTGTCATCAGCATAAATACCACCTTTTCCGAGCTACTATCAGTCCTGAAGAAGAGTCACTGGACTCAAAACGTTAACTCTTGCTTTGTCTCCACTGATGCTGCCAGACCTGCTGAGTCTCTCAAAGAATTTCTGTTTTTGTTTCGGATCTTTACCATTGGCAGCTCTTTGGTTTTACTTTACAAATTACTTGACTCTGACTATAATGGCTCTTTCTGAGCTTCATACAATTCAAGTATTTGATGTAGAAATACCTCTGAAGCTGTTTAATTTTGTTCCATATTATGCTCCCATCACATCAAAAATACTGAGCAATTAATAAGCCATTTAATTTGATAAATAGATATTACTGGATTAACTAGCACTAATAATTAAGAATAACATAAGGACATCTGTGAAAAATTAACTTCGTTCAGAAAGTCAGGAAACAGAATCAGAATGGGTGGATTAGGATTGGCAAGAGTTAAAAAATGCTGAGAGTAGTTTATAGGCCCTTCAACTGTAGATATACACTGAATGAAGAATTAAACAAGAAATTATTGGCATTTGTATTAGTTGTGGAGTATGTTTATCTTCATATTGATTGGACTAATTAAATTTGAAAAGGTTGTCTGCAAGATGCTTTCATGACAGTTTCCGCAGCAATATGTCGTGGAACCAACAAGGGATAAAGCTAAATTAAATTTAGCATTGTGCAATGAAGCAAGGTTAACTGCAAATGTTATTGTAAAAGGTCAAGTGGGAAATAGTGATCATAACACAACTGAATATCACATTGACATACTTCAATTACAAACAAAAAATATTAAACCAAAATCCTGTTTTCATTAGGAGATACTGCTGCAGCCTCAGTCCTGAGCCTTGTTTACTGCAATATGTAAAGACTCTTTTAAATAGATTCTATAGATTGCTTATCATACATGTAGCCCTACTATTAACCCACTGGGTAACACCGAGCTGCCAATTAACATCGAAAACTCAACTATTAGACTGGGAACCATGGATTTATATTCCTGCTTTTGGAACATAGGAATAGAAAGGACCATTCAGCCCTTTGAATCAACTCTGACATTCAATTCATGCCTGATCAGTATCTTAACTCCATCTACTTGTACTGGTTCTATAATCCTCAATACCTAACAAAAATCTATTAGTTGCAGCCTTGAAATTTTCAATTGATCCCCAGCCTCAAAAACTTTAGGAGTTAAGATTCCATGTAAAGTATCACTCCTTCTACATGAGAGGGGAAACCAACATGCTTCTCTGGATAACAACACAGTGCAGTCCATTACTCATTGTTATAGTTCTCAGGTTAATCCAGAGTAACATTACTGGTTGCTTGTCATTGCTGTTGGTGGTCAGTTATGAGATTCCTAATGCCAGGGTTGGGGATACCTGAAGTCAGGGATTCCACTGGGTGTACTGATCCCTGCACCAGACATCACCACAATCCTACGGCACTCCCTGTTCCGAATGAGCCTCGCGATGTCCTCCAGTGACTGCAGTCTCTCAACACTTCCTTTCCCACTGAAGATGTACCGGACAAAAGATGAGGTTGATGAACGATTCACACAGCGGATTCTGTAACAATAGATAAAACACCCACAGAATGGGCTAGAATCTATCCTGAGTAATTTTAGGTTTGAGTTCAACACGCGTCCTTGCTCTCCGTGGGTTTCTGTGCAATCCCAGACAGCACAGGATCATCTTCCAAAACTGATCAAACTCTAGAAGTCTGAAACAGGTTAGAATAGTCAATTCAATGTCAAATCAACTTCACCCTGCTTCAACATTTCCATATTGTTTGCGTGCTGAGGCTCTCAGTGACGTACAAGTGGAATGAAACTTCTGAAGGAGCAGAACAGTTTAAATACCATCTTCCTGATTTCTGTAATTAATGCTTGCAAGATCACTGTTAACTTGTTAACATCATCATTACTTTAATCACAATATTTGATCTATCGATTTCAGATAGTGTAAATACAACTCATTTATGCATGCTTCGTACCTTGAACCCTTGCTGTGTGCCTGTCTGCAAATATTGAGTCCAGTCAGGATTCCAGTTTGGAAATTTCTGATGCAGCTATGATTAAACTGTAACCATCGAGCAGCAAAGAAACCAGGCTGGGTCCAGGTGAGACTCTGATACAATGCAAAACTCATGTTTCCAACTGAAATAAAGACAGAAAACAATTCAATTCTCATGTATCACATGTGGCTCAATGATTCTTTTTGTTTTTGCCTCTGAATCAGACGTCATGGAGTCAAGCACCACTCCAGAGACTAAAGTACAAGGTGATACTCCCTACGCAGCTTTGAGGCAGCACTACACTGTAGGTGCAGTCGTGAGGGAGTGCTGGACTGCAGAGGTGCAGTAGAGGGAACACTGCACTGTAGAAGCACAGTAGAAGCACCAAAGGAGGAGCACTGTATTATGGGAGAAGCAGTGCTGAGGGAGCACTGCACTAAAGGAGGATCAGGATTGAGGGAGCAGTGTACTGTGGGTGGAGCAGAACTGAGGGTGCTCTGTACTGTGGGAGAAGTATTGAGGGATGTTGTATTATAGGAGAGGCAGGTCTGAGGGAACACTGTACTATGGGAGGAGCAGTACGAGGGAGCACTACACTGTAGGGGGAGCAGTACTGAGGGATCACTGCACTGTGAAAGGAGCAGTACTGAGGGAGCACTGCACTGTGAA